GAAAATCAAGAAACTTGTGTTCTCTGATAGGCAGGTGACAGCCGAACTTTCGAACAAAGAAACTACACTTAGCATTGGATCAGTTGAACGAATCCTTAAATGAATAGTTGAATGTGACCAAGGTTTCTGCGAGATGGGTCCCAAGTTTGTCGACTCCTCAAAAAGTGCAACGTGTTGATTGTAGTCAAGAATTGCTTGGTCTGTATGAAAATGATGAAACAAAATGTTTTGAAAGACGCGCAATCATGGATGGTACATTGTTCCACCACTACGATCCTGAGTCCAAATCTGTACCAATGCAAATGAAGTCGCCCTCGTCTTCAACACCAAAGAGGGCAAAGGTGCAGCCATCAAGTGGAAAAGTGATGCTATCAGTTTTTGGGGACCAAGAAGGGGTGATTATTACAGACTATCTTGAAAATGGACATGCGATAACCGGAAATCATTACTCTAACCAGCTATAAAAAATTACGAGAGGCTATAAAAGAAAAACGCAGAGGAAAGATCGGAAAAGGCATTTTCCTGCTTCACGACAACATGCCAGCACACACTTCAAGAAAAGCTGCAGAAACTACGCGAGAAAGGGGCTATGAAAGTTTGCCATACCACCCAATTCTCCAGCCCTGCCCGACTTATTTTATTCCACAAACTGAAAAAGGATTTAAAAGGAAAGCAATTTGAAAGTGATGATTGGGCCAAAGAAACGGTAGAGGGTTGGTTTTCTTTCAAAGAGAGGGTCTTCTATTCTCAATGTCTTTTCAAGGTCATACACCAATAGCAAAAACGTAAAACTGTCGGAGACGATTGTAAAGAGAAGCATTAAGGTTAGTACCAAATTTCAGCTTTTTACCTTTATTCCTTCATGGTCAGGTAAACAACTTTTGGTATGCCCCTCGTATGTACATAATATGCGGCATTGTTGTGAATCCATGCGCTCCTCAAAATAATGAGATCGAATAAATCTGTATCTTTTCAAATCTTGGGTTAATAATTATCGGTTTTTTGTATTTATTTATTCACTTCTGGTTTATTTATTAATGCGTTTATTTATTTTTCTCGACGTGTTTTTTGCTCATTTATAAAATATCTCTGTGTAAATTTTTATGAGAAACTTTGATGAAAGGCACAAAATATTACATTTTGCAGTTTCCACGGACACTCAAATTATGGAAGTCACCAAAACTTTGGCAGCCATTTCCTCGCTAATTTTACATATGACACAAAAAAACCCTCACCTCCTTCAATTACACGATATTTCGACTTCTATTCAAGATAAGTGGGTATTTTTCATTGAAAACAAGACAAAAGAACAACTTTTAAGATAATAACAATACCTTTGTATGCCCATAAAATGACGAGCCGTGTCGTGAAACATTTCATTGAAGTGCTTTTCAAGGAATCTGTTATTATGTCTTGGAGAAAAACCATGCGCTCTTCCACTTGTTTTTATTTACAAATCAGTAAACAGATGGGCCATGCCAGATATTCATAAACTCTCTAGCCATGCTTCTCTCTCTCTCTCTCTCTCTCTCTCTCTCTCTCTCTCTCTCTCTCTCTCTCTCTCTCTCTCTCTCTCTCTTTCTCTCTCTCGATTATGATTTATAGCATCCTGTAGGCCTCGCAAATCCGGGAACATCAATCCACCATGCCTGTACTCTAATTTATCACCATTAACGCGTTCCGTTGTCGAATGTCAAAGGCTGAGTACCACTTCCTTTTTTTAAATGTTAGCATCACTTTCTTACTCCGGGGCCTTACCCTGCTGCCGTAGAATCTCCTATACCGGTACAGACACATGTTCTAGATCTAGACAGATTTAAGAAAGTTTTGCTTCTTTCTACTTCCACAATTCAGTTTTCTAGATAAATATATGCACAGATTTTCCAGCCACAGCAAAACCCGAAGAATGAATGAATGAATGAATGAATGAATGAATGAATGGAAGAATGAATGAATCAATGAATGAATGAATGAATGAATGAAGATATCTATCGTGAGTAGCCATATTTTAGCTGATTTGCACGTGAAAGTCTATTACCGACACATTTAGGCATCCCTGTTACAGTATTCATGTAGTCATGGAATATCACACTGTAAACCATTTTAACAAACTCGGAGTCTAGAAAAACTGTCCGATAGAAGCGTAGTTTTGATATCTAATATTGATAGATCTACAGACTCGTCCGTGGCTAATTTTGTTGTGGTTTGTACATTGTGGGTTTATAAGTTTTATTTTCTTTTTTTTTTTAAGCTAAAAGGCCTTGATCTCTGCGGTAAGAGAACCTCTTAGGGTGAGAGCCAGTATATCTTCGACATGTCGTGAAAGTATCGGCTGCCTTAATTCTTTGATTTTCAGCATATCTGAGCTTCGGTGTTCCTTGTGGGAGACCTTTCTAATAAAAGAAATTAATCCATGAATACGTCTGAAGAAATCTGATAATTAATCAAGCACGCATACAAAATACAGGTGTTTTTGTTGATATGTTTGACGTTGATGCTGTTGATGCTATCATTAGAGGTTTGTCAGTGCCCACTTTGTCACTGTCTCCTCTGTGCCTATCAATCGACGAGGGTCTATCTAGCAAAACATGGACCTACTAACAGTAACACGCACAGTGCTGCATGGAAATCGTCTGCAAAACGACTTCTTAGTGTACAAGCAAGCGTTAAACTAATACCAAATGAATGTCCACAACTCATTCTAATTCTAATGAGACATTAATGTAGGAGCTGTGTATGGAACCAGCTATTGCTTTTAATTGATACTGTTCCAAGTGCTTCAACTGTTAAATCATTGAAAATAATGTATGCTTCGTATCTCTTAATACTTCCCTAGCCCACTTATCGAACAGTTGAGAAGACACAAGATGGTGGTCGGAAAGATGAGCCAGAGGATACGCTCACTGCAGCAACAACCGAGACGCATAGTGCTGAGCTCCTACCTGGCAGTGATCTAACACAATCCAGCAAGGTTAGTACATGGCAATATATGCAAGCCGAGCAGCAAAGATCAAGAGATCAAATTACTAGTAGTAGTAGAATCTAGTAGTAATGTCTCAATTTCATACACCAATGCCTTCAATCATTTGCGTTTGTTTGAAAAAAAAATACGTAGCTGAGTTGAAATAGTGTATTCTGTCGTATAATAGTGTTCTTATCTTTATGGCGCCTAAACTTCAGTGTATTTGGGAGCATACAGACTGCTTGCCGCTAGATATCAAGCGTGGTGCTCTTTTGAGTTGTAGGGTTTTTGTTTCTGCGACGACCAAAACTGATAAAGATATACGAAGGGAGAGAGAGGGGGGGAGAGAGAGAGGGGGAGA